AAAAAAAAAAAAAAACACGCACACTTACACACAAAAAAAAGCATGCAACTTACATAGCTATCCCATTCAAAGTTTGGTCGCGATATTCAGAATCTTCAAAGAATCTTTCCCTATCACAACCTTAAAAATCACATAAACAATGAATAATGAGCACCCTTGAACATCAGCAAGAACTCCAAATAAGCTTTAAAAAAATTTCTTCAAAAAATGTGTAAAAATCAGTCCGCTGAAAAATAATCGTAGGCCTAACTAAAGTACGTTATCAAAGGTTTAAAAAAAAAGGAACGCTTTTAATTCTATTTTCCCTCTGATATTCAGCGCCAGCAGACATAAATATGTATCAACTATTTCTGGGCTTGAAAATGAAAGCAAATAAGAATGTGAATGGCTTATAGAGGAACCAGCGACCAACGCTTGTTTTCGCTAAGAACAAGACCCAAAAGCAACCTAGACGGATTACAAAACCGTCTTTAAATTGCAAAAAATTCCAATTCTATAGTAAAATTATACATTGGCATATCAAAAATGTAATGTCTGGCAGTAAGCAGGGTGGTTTCGACTAGGCTGACAAAATCTCTCTTACCGTAGCATTTAGTACATAAACGAGATTTGTGTATCCCAATAGGTAAACAAAAGCAGCATAAAGGCTAAAATGCATCTTTTAATTTAAACAAATTTTTTGAATGCTAAAAAAAAAGAGTAGCTCGCCGGTGCTGTAGCTATGAAGATCAATAACAATTCCTCAATCAGATTCTTAAGCGGCTAGTTTTGACCAGCTAGAATATGATTTTACTAAACAGCTTGTTACTAGCAAGTTCAGACGTTCTTTTAAAAGTAGTAATAATTTATCACCTGTTGCTACCAAGGTTTTAACTCGAAAAGCTATAGAAAGACAAAAGACGGGATTTGTTATTAAAGCACAATTAGTGAAATAACAAACCAAAAGCAACAAGAGTTCCTCACTATTGCTCCAGCGGTCAATTTATATAAATAAAGTAGGCAGCGCTGAGCATCACCAATTTATTTACACAGATAAGAAGAACGTATAGACCAAATCGATCGCTGTGAAAACTAAATTTTCTTATAGAAATTTATGAAACTTCTACCCCAGATTTAGAGCTTGGTGCGCAATGTCATAAAAGAAACTTTACCTCCGTCGTTACTTGGGTAACAACTAAAATTTGCTACTTTGACATACCCAGCATTTATTTCGGACTTTGTGTTCCAGAGGAAAAATACTTAGATGAATAAACATTTAAAAATTTCCTTTTGACAAAATCCAAAAATTATTTTGTAACTTTTACACAGCTATTGCTCCATTCACTTGAAGTGTCGGAAATCTTGCTCAAGCAAGATCTCAACCTCATAACACAGAAAGCACAGATCTCGTTTGCCAGCACTGACCGTCTTACCTACTGTCGCGCACTCCACTCTTAATTCACTTAAAGCACAGTAAAAATTAAAATAAATGCGAAAAAAACTGCACCTGAGTTCAAGATTCTCTCCATCGCTGTCTCACCAGCTGGAGATTTCACATATTTTTGCATTAAAAAGAAAGGAGGCAGTAACTGAATCTGCTTGAACTGAAGTTCTTTAGAAGCAATACGAATAGCACGAGAATATTTCGCAAGGACGCTAAAAGATAAGAGTTCAAAAGTGAAAAAAAACGCTGCTATCATCAAAAATTGGGGCTTACATATTTTCCGTCCATTCAGCTTCCTCCGGCAACAAGAGCGAGAGACCTAAAGCCATAGTTGAACTGACGTGGGTGTAATGGCGAGCTAAATTTGTGACAGCGCTATCGTATTTTGCACGATTGATAATATTTAAAGAATCTACTTGCACTTCTGGGTTCTCAGTAAGTAGTGGTTTGCTAAAAATTTAACGAAGGAATTATATGAACAATCTCCCAAGATCAATATTCGAAACAGTGCAACTTTTGCTTACGCATTCTCATAAGGAAAGTAATCATCTACTGGCGTATACATAGGATCCAAGACCACTTCAGAAGTGGCTTTTACAAGTGGAGCTCCCGTCAAGTCTGCCTTAGGAGAATCTTGCTCACGAAGGAGGAACAAGGTATCAAATATATCCTCAGGTGGAGAACTCATAATGGCGCAGGTGAGCAGATCATCATACATCTAGAAAGTTCTAGGAATCTGGTCATTGTCGGGCATAAACTTCGTCCAGCAGCACAAGAAAAAACACGTCAGAATTTTTTCAAACAAAAAAATGTCTTTATTATAGGGCCAAATACCAGGAAAACTTAATCACTTACATCATTTAGAAGTTCGGACTTCAATACTTCAATGCAAAGAGAATGAATGCCTAGCGGTAAAGGCTGATTCTTTGGTAATTTCAGTAAGCCTTCGCAGTATTTCCTTAGCGATCTAACATCTTTCCTACGTAAAGCCTCAACAGCACAAATTTCCAAAGATCGTGCTACAGGTGTGCGGATGCCCAGCAAAGTGGCCAATTCAGCACATTCTTTCAGCTAAAATGTGATGAAAACAGACGTAATAAATTTACTAATAACTTGTTCAAAAAAAAAAAATTTAAAAACCTTTTTATAATTTTCATCAATTCGGACAACATCTGTAAACAAACTCTCTGGATCAGAATTTTTAAATTTAACCGGCAGCAGGTCACAATTTAAATTTAAAGCAACATCATATGCATTTAGAAGTTTTAACTGCTTTGTCATTCTCGTTTTCGCTAACCGACTGCCCTTAGGAACAAGTGAAAGAACTTCTCTAGCTAACCTAAAATAGAGGATAAAACTGCACTTCATCAGCCTTTCAAAGTAAATCAAGAGAAAAAAAATGAAATTACTTATATAAAAAACGAACAGATGAGGAAATAACCAACCTTAAGTTTAAATCTCCCTTGTCTGATAATGCACTGGTAAAATAACAGTCACTTTTGTTTATTAGGAGATCTAAAGATTCTTCAGGAGACAAATAATTTCCTTCAGTATCAAAGGAGCTGTCATCAAATGTTGCTACCAAAGAAATTAATTCACGTGTTTTGTTAACATCGTTCAAATCAAGCATCTGAAAGGCTTTACGTAAATGAATTGTTATGGTTAAGTCAAAAAAAAGTATGCGAAAAAGGACGTAACCTAATAAAAATAACTCTTAAAACTGCCACTGAAAAATGGAAAAATTTGCAACACCTTTACCTCGTCAGCAAACATCAGTAAAATTTCCTTCTCGGTAAACAGTTCAGAATAATATAAGGCAAAAATTTCAAAGATATCGTGCTTTAATTTTTTCCAGTCCATGAAAGTTACACATCCAGCGCTTCTAATTAAGCGGTAGATCATTTGACGCGCAACAGCACTATCCGAAAACGACTGATGTAACTGCTCAAATTGTGGTTCAAAACTGTGCGCAATAAATGCTTTCAAAGCCTAAAAATAAGTATTTCACAAAACAGAGAGTATGCATTATAACTGCAAAGAAACTTACTTCAAAATACTTAGGTGGCAACTTCGCTCTTCTGACTTCCGAGATAAGCAGATCGCCAGTAACTTCATACGCACAAAAACAACTGATCAACAAATTTTCATCAATCCATTCAGGTCGAATCTGTCGTGCTTTTTCAAGGACACGTAAAGACTGTTTCGAGTATTTGAACAAAAAATATTTTAACTGACTTCCTATAGACTCACAGCGATTTCTTGAAGACAAGTACTCCAAAAGTTGAAGAATTCCTTTTAAGTTAGTACAAACATCTTGCTCACTCATCTGAAAAGCTCCAAATATCTCACGCAGTAAGTTTCGTAATAAAAAGTTATTGTTGTCAACCTTTCTAACGTAAACTTCTAAAAGATGGTGTTTTTTCAAAACCAGTTTCTTCAAGAATCCCAAATCATAACTGGAAGAAATTCAAGCCCCTTACGTGTTTCTCCACATTCTTAAAGACAGTTTCGCTGTTGTAAGTGCAGAAAGCCTTTAGAGAAAGAGGAACCAAGCCACAAAACTGTACAAAGTCACGATAAAATGTAGTATCAACCAAAAACTCCTCCATTTCCTAAACCAGACATGATTCTTGGCCACAGGTCAATACAAGAACTCAAACCAAAAGAGCTTACAGTAAATCCATGAGATATTGCCAAATTGACAAAATCAATAAGCACTTCGACAAGCCCTGTAGTCCTATCAATTTCGAAAGCGCGGTTTTTCAAAAACTGGAGCACTCCACTAAGCTTCAGCTCCCCACTGTTACTGTAAAATTTAAACCTGATCAATATTAAAATATTTGCTGCCGTAACAAAAAACCATCGCTAACAAGTGTGAAATACAGAAAATTTAAAAAATGAAAAAAAGAGGAAAGGACTACTACACAAAAACCAACACATATTGCAGCAGCTCTCCGTTCTGCTCATAAACATTCGATTCATAATTTAATTTCTCCACAACATCTTTTAAACCGCCGGGTAGTGATTGCAGTTCTGAAGATAAGAAATCTTTACCGCTTGTGCCTTCTGGAAACCATTCATTTCTATAAAACATTTTGCTAAGAACGTTACATCAATAAACATTCGTATTATCATAATTGTTATCATATTAAAGTAATAATCTCAGCTAAATTTAACTGTATGATTTTTTAAACAAGCTTTCAAAGTGAAGCTAGCTTAATTAGTTACAATTCATCTTGAACTCAAAAAAGATTATTAAAGAATCACAATAGATAAACGACGAGAATAAAAGAAGAACGCATCGTGAAATAAAAATTTTAATTTAAAAAAAATAAAAATATTTCATAAGTGTCCTCACTTAATCCTACCATCTAACTCTTTCTGGTAGAAAAATAAAACGCACATTAATAACTAAAAAGTAAATAATTTACACTGTTTTGTAAGGGATCAAAAATTCATATCTCTTCGGAGGGATCGTTTCCGGAATAAACCATAAAAGAGTTAAAAGATGTGGTCGCAAAACGGGATCACATAAAAAATGTTTCTCAAGAATATCAGTACGTGAAGCCTAAATACAAAAAGAAAATGCAGAAGAAGTTCGATTCGTAACAGAAAAGTGAAAATTTAGGAGACAATTTTTATTTTTTAAAGTATTAAAAGTACAAAACTATTCCAAAATTATCACAAAAAAAAAACAGCCCAAAATAATCGAGAAATTCAAATACTTTTGCCAAAAATAAAGCTACATCCAGAAATGACTGCTTTCTGAACTCCAGAAACATAGATGCATCATCTGCTGTATCGTTCCAGCTTCTTGCTAAACGGTACATCCTTTCACAATGCAAGACGAAAGACCTTTCTGACAAATAATCATCATTTGTCACCTCCTTTGCAAGACTAATTAATGCACGATGAGTATTCATTCCTAGTGCCCTACTTTCAACACATTCAACCAATACCCAAGCTTTGTCGCTGATCCGGCCCTAAAGGTACCGAACATTGAAAAAAAGTAGCTTCTTAGTGAAGTCACCTCTATATTTTGATTAGCCGTGGTTTATCTTAACCGCAGAATAAAACTGCTCACAAAAGCCAATAAATCTTCTCTTAAGAGAATTACAAAAGCGTTGTTAAAAAAACCAACCAAAACATTCTTCACGGATGCTTCAGTAACTTTGTCACCAAGCTGTCTCCACTGTTCTTTATAAATAAAATCGATATTATCAAATTTGTGCTTCTCTGCAAGTTCCAAAGCAGCCACAAAATCCCCACGTGCTAACTAGAAACGCAGGCCAAAATGATATTTTAAAACCACAAGTCATTTATTAAAAAACGTCATTGAGGAACAAAGCTTGAAAACAACTTACAGAGTTGTAATTATTATGAACTGACGAAGAAACAGCTGGCAAAAAGAAAATAGAAGTGAACGTTAAGATCAGGAAACTAAAAAAAAAGCATAACGCAC